AATCGTCTTTTAAGGATTTTAAATACGAGACAATTTTTACTAAATGGATGACGTCATATTAAAATACTTTTAGTGTATTAAAATAAAATAATTTAAAATTTGAGATTTGCAGTGATTTAATATAGATTTGTCCTAAAGCTAGGTGTCATTCAAACAAATAGATGCCATTACTGAGTGTTTACTATTGCACGCAGAGTCATGATGTATGATACCAAATACGATAAAAACTAAAAAAAAAAAATTCGATTATTTTATTACCCTATAAAACGTAGTGTTAAAAAATGATTTATCTTACATTACTATAAATCTTTCGATTAAGAGCAGGCATGAGTCCTTCAAGTGGTGAGATGAAAATTGGTTTCTGAACTTGACTCATAATAATTATAAGAACTTTTCTCATTTCTATCAGTTCTTCGTTCCATTCCATGTCATACAATGTCAATCCTATCTTTTGGTTCTACAATAATCCATAATGAATTTTATTATCAACTCTACTCTTTAAATGATGTGTTTATAACGACTTATTACCATTTCGTATATATCATTTGCTGGTTCATTATAAATGTAAGTTCCCATCAAAAAACTAATGATCATTAGAAAAATCCTTATTATTTTGAAAAAATCTGAATTCTTAAAAATAGAAATAAATACATAAGAGTAAAGAAAGATAATAATAATAATAATAAGTAACGTTGAATCTGACAATTTGGTTTTGATTACTTACGTAAATAAATCCAATACTTCCAAAAATAATTGCTAGTCCTAAAACGATATACGATTTCATAATTGTACTACGTAATACGACATTTATACGATTTACGAATCTGTAAATATTAAAAAATAGTGACATGTTAGTGAAAACAAATCAATTTAATATGACATTCAATAATTAATACTTACTCAATACATTCTAGATGTTGTTGTATCCATATTTTTAGCTGGTTGTAATTCTCTACCTTCCTTAAATCATAAACTAGAATTTCTAATTTTATTGCTGCATGTTTGAGAATCATAGCGACAGTTATTGGGAATATCATTTGACACCCACAATAAAATGATGTTATTGATTGTGATAAATAAATGACGTAGTATGTTGCAGAGTATTGTTTAATTGAAAATGGATAATAAATTGCAAAAGGAATTTTCAATGATTGTTGCATTGGTGCAAATATCACTCGTATAATAATTGTACCAAAAGCGAAGATAGAATAAAATATGTATAAATATTTGTAACGATTAAAATATTTATTTATTATCATTCGTTCATGTACCTTTGATGCTGATAAAAAAATTTTAAATTCTTGTAAAAATTCCTACAATAAAATAGAAAATTTTTAGTACAATGTTTGTGAACAATTTTATGATGAACTAACATTTTATACTTACTTGAAATTTTACTCTTTTGAATCGCCAAAATAATATATTGAAAACTAATTCAGATAAACCTATCACAATACCTAGAAGGTTTGTTACTAATAACCTTTGATGAAAATTTATGTAAATAGTTGAAATCATTGATAATTGAACTCCAATGATGTTAGCAGTTACAATGAAACATCCAACTCCGTTTAGCACTTTGAGTGTAACTGCCGATCCGGAATCCAAAGGTAAAAGACATGATAATTTTCCAAAATTTATGAGAAAGTTGAATAGTATTTCTGGCCAGAATGGCATATTTGTACAATTTTTTGCACTAAAGTTTAATTCAAAAACAACGAACTATAGTCACTTTGATCGCAAAAGTTTTACTTATGAAGGTAGAAAATTTGTGATTCCTTTCATCAATGATCAGTTATTAATATGGATATGAATGCTTGAAAACTAAAACCATTATGAAAAATTTTGAAATACTAATTAATTCTACATTAGAGAATAAGTAACATTATATAATGAATTTCTGAATAATTATAGATTACATAATTATTCCTGATATAATTATTAGTGAATTAACTGTAAAAAAAACTAATAGTTTGCTGATTAATGAATACTTTAGTAATTATCGATATTCGATATGAACTATAATAAATAGATATTTAATTTAATTACCTTATTTATTAATTTAAAAAAAAGGTAATAACATATGTTTTTTTCAGAATTTTTAATAAGTATTATATTGCCATCGTTGGCCCTTTTGAATTCTAGGAAACTTTCGTAACAATTAAATTAACCTACAGGCGTTTTAATCAATGTATTACTACAAACTTACAAGAGCTTGCACGGAAAAAAGCGGACTCGAAATTTATGTAATTATTAATTTAAATTAAACAAAAAACATTGATATTAGTTTTTATATTGACAATCTCTTAAGAAGTATTTCTACTGTTATGGTTCGCTAAAATTTATTATAACCTTCCAATAATATTATAATTTTTAATTGATTAATTCAATGCGGAGAATAATTTTTAATATATACTTAATAAAAACTGTGACATCCAAATAATTACAATCTAGAATAGTAGATTTTGCTAAAATTCGAGTTCGTGTTTTTTCCGTGTGAAACATCATTTTTTTTTTTCTTTTGTTAAGCTTTTAAATTTCAAAAGAAGCTTACATTGGCTCTACAAATAATAAAGGGCAAATATATAAATATAATAAATAATATACAGTACATGTAGAATGTTACAGCACTTTAACTTACAATTATAAATATAGTAATTCGTAGTGAGTAATGAAATTTAAAAGTTAATCTAAACATTGATACTACATGATCAAAAAACACCAGTAAAGCATCATATCATCATGTATGATAAAAACTGGAACAAATTAAATATTATATTAAAATTAAAAATATTTATTTATGCTCTTCTAACACCCCCTTCCGTAAGTAAACGTTGATCAAATGATAAACACCTCCCCCCCCGCTTCCCTTTGCCGGGTTTTGTACAATCAACGATTTTAGTGAAATTCATTGATTTATCATATGTAATTTATGACATGTAAAGTATGAAGTAATAGCAGTAGTATGTCTCCCCTGCCTTAAATTTACTATTTGTATCCTCAGAAATGACCCCAGATGCATAAGAAATCTTTTAGAACAATTTCTGACTGGAGCTCCAATTCTAAATAATTATCAAAAGAAGAATGGATAATTCATTCAATGATAATTTTCAATATCTTACAGATGTGTAAATTTGTTCCGTTACAGCTGGTATCAGTCCTTCAAGTGACGAATTAATAAAAAATCTTCGTACGTAATCCGTATTAATTATAATTAATTTGTTCATTTTGTCTAATTCATTACTCTATTTTAAGTTGTATAGTGCTACAATTTTAAATTAAGAATTAATTATTTTAGCTTCATTACTACATGAAAAAAAACCAATTATTGGAAATATTGTTCCAGCATTCCAGAATGCTGAATTACAAATTACATGATAAACTACTGTATGTAATTCAATAGCAAATGGCTAATAAATTTCAATAAAAATTTTTTGACGTTGTAAAATGAATGCAATCATTATTCGTAAGAAGAAAATTCCTGTAGTAAATATAATTAATCACAGACTTGTGCCTGTATAAAGAAAGATAAAATGTATTTGCACAAAATACTTGGAAAAAATATAATGATCACGAAAACAACAACAGTTTGATGATTATAACTCTTTTAATAAATTTTATGTCATGATTTGCGTAAAAAGTATAATTTTACAATTAAATTTACTTCAGCATTTTTTTATTTATAATCAACTCCGCAAATTATGTATCAAGTATTTATTAAATATTTGGAGATTCATCGACAAACATTTTAAATTAGCCAATCACTTAGTTAACTTGTTTATGTTTAATTATAATTATTCAACATATTTATGTGAGTGTAACTTCGTACTTTTCGTTGACAATCATTTCTCTTGAAAGCTACAATGAATTAAAGTGTGATGATATCCTAGTAGAAGTGATGTATCTTTTGAAATGTCAAATATTTAAAAGATAATTATTTTCGTGTAAATAATAACTTGAATTTGATAATAAATATTGAATTTATTTTCTTATTAATCAACGTATAAACAGTGATTCAAGTATCGCAGATGATAGTGAGAATGGAGTATGTTATGTCTTCTATTTCTGGTCTGCTCGTTAAATTCTGGAGATATTCTCCGGATCAGGTCGTGTGTTAGAAGATCCTTGACGGCTTTTGAACTAAACACACAGGTCATTTTCACAGTGAGGTTGCTAACACTCGCGAAACACATGATAGTTTCTGTTGATCTTCCATCCTATCTTCATCTAGTAGTTTGTGGTGGTTGCATTGCAAGCACGAAAAACGTGAAATCTGGAGTTGAACCTAAAGTTGATGGGTAGAAACTTTAGATCTCTAACACTTGCTTTTAACTGATGTACACTTCTTACGTTCTTCATGACACTTTTACTTACTTTCTAACTTCTTTGTATTCTTGAGATGTATTTTTTTCGTAAGTTTTCTCTTGAGTGATCTTGACTTGTATAATTTGACTTTATCTCTGAAGTGTTTGAAAAAGTGAGGATGTCTTTTTTTGACAAGTGAATGAAATTGAGACATGATACACAACGAATTGATTGTTCGGTAGTGAATGGAGTTCAGAGAAGAAGGATGCGAAAAAAAGTCTGGATTAACTCCAGATTTAATTGAAGTTGAAATGTAATGAAAGTTTTTTTCTACAGTTGACATTTTCTTAATCAGTAAAACTGATGTTTCTGCAATTCAATAGATTTTTTTATCATTTTTTTCCCAAAGATTTGCATTTATAATTATCACATTTAAATATTCCTTGATATATCTCACTCAACTAGTATTTTAAAATACTTTAACATTTTAATTGGAAAAAATGTCATATCTTAATGCTTCTTTATTATTCAAATGTGAAGTAGAATATTAAATAAATCCAACTTGAATAGTTGCAATTTGTATCAGATAAATCTTATGATAATTCTCACATTTAATTAGAAATAAATTCCCTGTCATGTTATACTGATTAAATTCAATGTGCTTTACACTTGTATTATATATGACATTATTTTTTTAGATTAAACCATGGAGGCAAAGGAGAAACCTCGAACAGCGGGACGAATTGCTCCAACCGGACGTGTCACCTCAGCGGCTCACCAAACCGCTAATGGAAGAAGAAAAGTTATTCCTGTTCCACCACCTCGTATTCCTACTCCCATGCCCATTGTCACTAATAATAAACAGAGGTAAGTTATAGTTCTCCAATCAACTCTATCATTTGTCTACCAAAAGATCTAAATGTCTATAATAAATTAATTAACATCTTAATTCAACAAAACACTCTTTCAAAAAAAATCTCCACTAATCTTTAATTGGAATCATTATTTAATTAATTAAAAAATTATCAATAAGATAAATTAAGAAATAATTTTATTGGATAATAAGTAATAAATTGTTGAGATGATAAAATCATGTGAATCATAAATGTCAATTAATGACTATTCATTCATAAGAAAATCATTCATTCGAATGAGATAAGTAAGTCCGTCCCATTTAAAATTGACATAAAGTTTCAAAATGTAACTATAATTATTCAAAACAATTTTAATCCAATAAAAAGTTTATTTTATACATTTCTATGAGCTAATCGTGAAGCGAAATGTTGGCTCATTATCTGTTGAATATAATGATATACTCTTTGCGCTTGGTAAAGATAGTCCTGGGGTAAATTTTAATGGGAGTTTACAATTGTAGTAGCGTGCACTGGTGCAAAGTCATTAAGTAGAGAGGATTAGTTTGGTTGCAAGCAATGGGAGTTGGAGAAGTAAAACGAGAGTGGTCATCTTTGGCATGTATTGCAGTTTGTTTCACTTTTGACTGCTTCTGTTAAATAGTTTCCACGTTATGTGACCACAAATTAAAGAAAGTTCTCCAATTACTGGCTCCAATAACACTTTAGCTATGTTAAGGAAATAGCGATTTCTTGAGATTTTATTGTGGAAGATATTGATGTAGTTGAAGTAATGATAATAAGAAATAACCGATTTTGATAACTGCATGTAATTTATACCTTGACAAGTAATATTACTAGTTGAAGTGACAGGCGTCAAACTGTTTAATACTTAATCGCAAAGTAGAAGGATCTGAAAGGAAAAAGAAAAAAATGATATAGAGAAAGATAAAAAAAAAACTGAAGATGAGGCTAGGACTAGGGAGTAGGGAACATGAGTGCCCACTTGTCTGGTGAGCGAATGGCGTTCGATCGTGCGGTCTGAGTTGATATGAATTTTTCAACAAACCTTTTTAAGGAGAAAAAATTCATTAGTGGTTATATTTTAAATTTCTAAATGCCTTTTTTAACGCAAAAAGCAGCTATAAATCAATTTATTATTGCGACTAATGTTGTTATTACTAAGGAAAAAAAAATTCATCGTTGAAAATAAAAAGTATATTTCAACTGTGATGCATTTTAATTATTGACAGAAGTCTAATGAGTACAGTTTTTTGTAAATATTTCAAGCATAAAAATAATGAGATAAAGTTCAAAAGTCTTTAAAGATGTTAATATTATAATTGTATTTGAATATTTATCATTGATTGGATGAGGTAAGAACTGATTTTTGATGCTTTGAATTTATGAATGAAGAGTAGTGAAGTGAGAGAATGAAAATAAATTTTTATTTGATTAATTAATAAATAATAATAACAAATTAGGCATGAATTAAATATTAATATAATACGATACATTAAATAAATAAATTTATTTTATACGAATAAATTAATATGATTCAATAAATAATGAGTATATAATATTTTCAATGATGTGAATGGAATATAAATGAAAACTTATCACTAAGTTATCGAAAGAATTTCCTAATCTTTTTTATCAACTGCAATAAATAATTGTTTATTTATTTATGTTGAATGCAATAGAATTCTAAGTTATTTTTCTTGAACAGGATATTAAAACGAAGAATTTATTAAATATTTATAAATATCAAATATTCACAAACATTCTTTGCTCCAAATAAATTCTCCTATCAGTGTCGAGAGGGTACTAAAGCAAGAGAATGTCATTTGAATGTTCATAGTAGCAGGAAGTGTAGAGATAAATTTTGTAGCATGTGATTCTACAAACATGTTGTAAAGTACTAATATTTTCTATAAAATGATATTACATCTCTTTTTACAATGCATCATGAACTTCAATATGATAATAAAAATTTATTTTACGTTGCAGAAAAAAACAGTTGTTTATTTTTTACCTTTTAGTTGATTTGGTCTTGGTATTTAGAAGTAAATAAATATATTCACTAATAAACCCCTTGATTGTATATCCATTATTTCTGTGTAGAGTGAAGGTAGTGTTAATAGTTAAGCTTTTACGCTAATGAATTATGCTTGAAATTTGTATTTCACACGGAAACCAGACTGTATTGAGAGTTCGAACGAATTTCAATGTTTCATTAATCAAATCTCGTAATTTTCAGACTATAGAATTTACAGACTGAGGTCGAAATTTCTATTTCATTGTGAAACTCTTGAGTGAATAGAATAATTAAAAGTACACCAATATGAATTTTTGAATATATTAATCGTAATTAAAAACAGTATTATTAAATAAATAGTAATTAAATGAAAATAGACATGTGACATTTCATGTATCTCGTGTACCTATAAGATATTAATGCCTCTTTAATCAGCTCTCATCCATTAATCAATAATAATAATCTTGCGATATGAAGCCTTTGGAAGCTACAAGTGCGTGTGATAATGGATTCTTGTGATATGGACTATCCTTTGAAGATTGCCGAGTCGTTATAATTTAACGAATGTCGATTGTTAACTCGCTACACAGGATAATGCTGAATCATCGAAAAGGTTTTCATATTTTCTAAAATCATCGTTCGATTAATATTGGCGAGTCAACAATCAATGTATTTATCCATCACCATTCATCATTTCATAATCCACATTTAATTAAAATATTTTATCAATGAAAATTAATCATCATGAAGATGAGAAATATATTAAGTTATATCTTTTTCTAATAAAAGATTACTTATTTCACATACTTAAAATTCAGCTGTTTTCAGGATTGTCTAGCTAATTAGTATAAATCAATATTTCAATATTAATGAAATCCATGGGATAAAAAATTTATAAATGTCCATTTTTAAACTATGAATAATCGTTGGGATTTGCATAATTTATTCATATTGTATTTGATGTCTTTATAAATTAAAGAAGGTATTCGATCGTAATCAGAAATAGAATAGAAAAAAAAGTGTAGATCTTTGATAAAAAGAAGTGAAAAGAAAGTAAATTTTATCGTTTCTGTGTGAATAATGATTGTGTGGAAATGAAAATGTTTTTGTTAAACTGTTTTTGACGTATTGAATTAAAGAGATTTCAATTACTTTCAGTGGATAGATATAAATAGAAATCAAAATGTCATTATTGATTAAAGTTTAAAGGGAGAATACTATTAGGAAAATTACTAGGGAAGGTAGGGGATTAACAAATCACAAGTTTGAGACAAAATTGTTAAGTCTATTAAATGTAATAATCAATTTAATATTATAAATTGATTTTTGTTAAACAATAAAGTAATGATATAATATTAGATGTAACAAATTACTTAGGTTCGTGAATTTAATCAGATAATTTTGAGTTTGACACCAGGAATTGGTTTCCTGCTGGTTCCAGGCATGCTGACATTTCAATAGGGGTGATATCAGTGGTCTATAAATTGCATTTTATCCTTGTTGAAAATGTAAAAATAATAGGAATCAAATGTATTTAATTTTATCAAAGTGTATGATATGATATCCGTCAGTTCAATCATAATAAATAAATGGGTTATCATTGTATGATTTATCAAGTACCACGCGTCATGGTACAGAAAAAAAATTGTTCTAGGGGTGAAAAAATATTCCTTGCATGTTGTATGTGGCTTATCATTTCTATCAATGAGTTTAAACTGTGAGTGTCCGAATAAAAATTGTTTTTACATATGAGAACACTTTTTTAAAAATCACAAAATTATTTTAACTATCTAATAAGATAATTATATCTACTACTGTCTACCTACTACCCTAGAGAAAAGCAAAACTGGTCCATTTCTGACTCATCACTTAGCCAGTCTAGCTATCTTTGGTCCAATGTTAGGCTAATCTTGCTTCAGACAGGGATAGGTAGTTGATGCTTTACTTTAAAACAAGCATTTAATTTGAGTTATACAATCATACTTATTATTAGAACAATTTTCAAGATACCTTTATTTGAAGTTAATTACAATAAGTGCTTTACATCTACCAGTAAAATTAAAATTAAGTCAAAGTGCTCTTATAATTGATAATTATGTATAAAAAAGAAAATAATTAATAAGCGTTATTGAGCCTAATAAAAATCCTTTTTGATATGTTTTTTAGAAAATAAAAAATTGTTTTTGAAAAATGATTACTATGTTAATGAAACGTGAAAGGAAAATAAATCTATCATTTAGAGTTGGAGTTTATATTTTTTTAATAAAGTTCAGTTACATTTTAAGGAGCACCCTTGATCTTTACGGGCATTTTAAAAACTTGAAAAATAATTACCCGCCAAAGTACGGACTAAGTTCTTTGGCAAGATAAGTTTTCTATATTGCCGGCGGGTGTTTTTCATGCTCTTCGGGACACATTGAACTTACCGGTAGATATCAGAAGCTTTAAGCTCTGCAATGCTAGTTAGTTGGATGCTTTCCTAACATAGGGCGCCACATATTTGAAAATGATGTTCAACAACTTTTTATCTTAATTCTTTATTTAATTCAGTTATTTTCATTGCATAATACTTTCTGATTTATTCTTTTTTAGGAAAGCATTATTCTAGATGGGATCAGGGAACTTTATTCCAGGGGCGTGCGTTAAAATCAAAGTATAATTCGAACTGTTGATGAAAGAATAGGTATACCGGCACTATTATGATGTGGATTTGAATGAAGTATATAATGGTATATATGCATGAGGGTAAAAAAATCCACGGTATCAAAACAGTTACTGGAATTCTCTTGAGCTTGACATGCCGTCTGGAATCCACCTGGTTTTTCCACAACTCGCTTTTTCTCCCCAGAGAAAAAGTTAATAAAACTTTGGGACGTAAACTCCTTGTCTGCGCTGTCGAATAAATCGAGTTTCGAGGGTCTTACATGCGGCTAAACTCCTACTCAAAAAACCCCACTAGAGAATGCTATTACAATAAAATAAATTTCGTATATTTTAAAGGCTTGAGTCCTTGGAGAACAAAAAATTTCCATAAACTCCTTACTAATTATATCATATTTATGATTCACATTAACTTTACAAATTCAATCGCATTTTCTTTTTACTTATTTTTATTTTTATTTATAATATTTTTCCTTTCTTTTTACAGAAATAATTCTAATATCGAAGTTTCACCAACAGTTTCTCAACAAAAAAAAGAACCGCATGGGAATATTGTAAAAATTGCCAAGAGATATTTGGACGATAATATGCAGCAAGTATGGATAAATCCTCGTCTGATATCTATGGTAAGCTAAAGTTTTTAGTCTGTATATTTTTATCAATTTTTATTACGTAAAGGCATTGGTAGAATGTTAGGATATAGAAAAAAAGAGCAAGTCTAAATAATTCGATTGGAAATTATTTCAATATCTGTTCAATAAAAACATGAAAAATAAACAATAAGGGAAGTACTTTGAAAAAAAAGAAACAAATACTTTTTTAGTTAACAGAAAAAATTTGTTTCGAACAATAATCAGTTGAAAAAATATATCATAGAATTAAAAATGAGCTTTTATGAGCTTTTTGCTTAGTGGAATTGATACATTGGAGGAAAAATGCTAATATTATTTTAAAAAAATTTTTTATTTCAACCATTCATACTTTAATTATTCATTTTTGATCATTTATAATAAGTAATTATATTTCAAAGACGTTTCATCATTAAATTTTCTAAGTAAAATCAATTTTAAAGCTTTTACAAATAATCCTTTTTCAATTGAATAAAGTTAGCTTACCTTGTGTGAGTAAATTTTCATATGTCTGTGATAAAAAATTTAATAAATACAATACATATCATGTTTGAGAAATATTTGAAAAACTAGTCATGCCATTCTATGTGATATTTAATAAAAAGAAATGTCACTGGTGAAGTGAATACAACTGTTTCTATGTTAGTCATGTTGCATATGAGAAATTGTTTGCGCAATATATATTTTTAAGTGAATAGCCCCAAAGCATTTAATCCGCTATGCAAAAACTAAGTCGCAAACCAAGTATTTTTAATTATCACATTCCTTGAGGATGAGTTACACTTTGAATTCACGTCTGGTCCATAAAAGACCCCAAGGTTTTTTCCATTTACTTGAGATCTTTTCTTGACCATGTTCTTTTACAAGTTGCTACTGTGATCTAACTCCGAAATTAAATAAAGCATTTATATATTCCTTTAAAAGGATTTTTCCTGGGGTGTTATTGTGGAACTGAGAACACAGCAGACGCGGTCAGCGTTTTTAATTCAATTCTTTGTCGACTCTTTTACTTTTATCCCTCTATTTTCTCATCTTTAATATCCTTATCTTGCTTCCGCTCATCGAACTACGCCATTCTTGCTTGAGTAACCACATTTTTCTTTGGCAATATCAAGATATTTTGCTTCCATAAACTCTGAGCTTTATGGTAAATTGGCTAATTTTTAGTCTTATTTACTATTTTTTTTTTATTGTTAAGATTTTTTTTATGATTTTAAAACTAATTAAAATATTACAATAATTTTTTTTTATTAATTCAACTGTAAAAAATTCATTAAAGCCTTTAATAAAGCTCATGTTTGTTTTTATGATTAATATTACTTGGCAAACACACAATTTTATCTTGATAGGAAAAAAACTAGACATTCCATGATTCTCTTGGACTTCATAATGAAAGAATAAAAATGAAAAATTCCAAACAAATTAAACTTTGGCAAAGAAATTAATTATTTTTTTTTTAGTGTGGAATCATGAACTTAATAATAAGATGAATTTTTAATATTCGCATAACTTTTTATTTAAAAATCATTTATTAATTGTTACACTCTTCAAAAAAATTCTTAATAAAAGTTACGATTACTCGAGTTTTAATTTAAATTTAAAATCCTAAACATAGTTTGTTTTATTTTTGAGATGCCTCACCTGATAAAACACTCATGAAAGAGTAAATTAATTGAGTAATTATTTATGTTTAAATATAGTTGTTGGAGAGTAGTAATGAAGTAGTAATAACACTTAGAAGGAAGTAAATTCAGGCCCGGAAGAGACAATAAGACCAGGGCCATTTAGTAATTATTTATACAATGGGTAGCTTCATGATAATAGTAGGGTAGTTGAAGAGTAAAACATAATCATACCCATAGTCACTATACTCAACATATATATATCTTTTTTCATTCAAACTTGTTTATGATACATTAAAAAACTTATTGAATATCAATTATCTCAATAGCTTGGGTAAACCAGGAATAGTTCAAGAGCTGTGAGAAAAATTAACCAAAGTTTTAGTAACTTCTAGGTGATATTTATCACAGCTCTCGACTTATTACCGGTTCACTCAAGTTGTTATAATTATTTTTATTTAAACTTGTTTCAGTGTATTAACTAGTGGATTGGAGAAAATTAAATTTCATTGTTAACACATTTATGTAGTGGATGATCAAATTTTGCCAAAAATCAAAATGATAAAATTTATTTATGTATATATTTATTAAGAGTTATTGATTGATTGTCGATTGAAAATTAATCGTCACTCATTCACCCTTCAGACAGATTAATTCATGGCCGACCGAAAAAAGAGTATTGAGGCTTGTATTATGTACTGTTTTATATACTCCAGAGACAATTGTGTAGTTGTGATGATGGTGGTATTGGAGTACTGACACAAATACTAAAGGTTATATTGGAGTACGAACAGGGATTTAGGGTGCAGATCCTGCGTGATCCTTTTTTCCACTTCTCGACTCGATGTGTTCTGAATATTATTTTTATTTTCATTCCCTTTTCGGTATTCCAATAAATATTTATGTGGTTTACTATGCTAGATTTACGTTATTACCAATATTTTACTATTCGATTTTTTTATGATTCAATTTATTTGTATATCATCGTAAACGGTGCTTTTATCGGCTGTGATTAAAAGATTTAAAAAAGATCAATTGACACAGAAAAAGTATCAGCTTATTTATATATCTTGATAGATTATGTAAATGTTGAAATAACAAAGTTTAAGTTGTTTTATAAATAGAATAAAAAAAAAAAAGATCAAGAAAATTGAATGGTCCTTAGATTCTATGTTTTTGAAAGGAACTCACGGCATACAATCGGTCGAAACTCACTTCTGCACCCTCAAAAGTTTCGAGTCATTTGGCAAAGTGCTACTTTGTGTCGTATAAAAAAAGCGCTAACGTCTTTCATGTTATGTCTACACTTATATCACAGTCAGCAATTTTCGAATTTCCCCCTTTTTTTTCCTCTCCCAGTCTTCTACAATAGATCAGATTTTTTTATCTCAATTCGAGGCATTCATCAAAATCACTTTGCAGAAATTTTTGGTAACTTTAAATTACATTTTCATCCCTATCATTCACTACAATTAAAGTTTTAAAAGCACATATCAAAAGGAATTACTTTAACACCTCAAATATTAATTATTTAATACATCTAATAGGATAGTTTAAATATTCAAAATTAATTGAATATATTTTTTGTGAGTGAGCTATCAGAAATAGTTGGAAATCGATTCAAAAAGTTATTAAAAAATGATATTTTTTGAAAGCTTTCACTCCTCCACTTACAGTTGTCCCCTTACTCAGTTATACATTTTTTTTTTTCAACACAGAACTAGAGCTCTCAATTTTTTTAGTCGGCATTTTTTTTACAAGTCGGAAAATTCTATTTATTCTAGAAACTTTTTTGAAATAATACACAATGCATGAAAGCCATTTTTATGAGAACAAAATTTTTTTATGGATACTATAAATGTTTAATGAACACTGTAACAATTTATCAATAATGCTTGAAAAAGTAAATGGTAAACAATAGATAAAATAAATACATTTGTTGATACTTTTTAATATAAAAGCTCATAGTAAACTGCATTTTTATTGTTCTATGACGCTAGGTACATTTCATTAAAAAAGAAAAAAGCATAAAATAATTATTTAAAAATTTTTAAAACTTGCTTTATAAAACATTGGATAATAACTGTGTTTGATTTTCAATAAATTTGATCCAATAAATATTCAGTGACAAGTCTTTATTTGATTGTTTACTCAAATAATGGATCCATCAGCCATCAATAAACCCTATTTATTCAAATAAAATTGCTCTGCAAATGTAATGAAAATATTTGCTAAATTAATTCGTTATAAAAAGAGCCAACAATAATCCATGTGTGAAATATGGCAAATTTTACAATAAATAACCTAAAAAGTAAATAATAAATTTACGTAATTGAAAGATTAATGTATCAGAAAAAGTGTGGAACATACAAGTAAATTTCGATGTTTCAACCCTCTGGATTGAGGTTGAGACTGATTGAAAAGTTAGAACGTCCCCAATCGAGAAGATGAGTCTTGAAAATAAAATGAAAGTGACAGAAAGAAGTAGTGGAGGGTAAGAGGGATAGGTAGGATCTTTGTGCGATACTGTCGTGATGGTTCAGATGGGGTCGTGGTTCGTTGAGATTGTTGTGGCATTTGTCTCTCGGTCCATTAGATAGCATTTGGCTCAGTTTCCTCATAGGGAGATTTTCTCTCAATGCAATTCATTTCAACGTAAAGCACTATTTGATTTTCGCCCGGTTCTCACTGATATCATGGTATATATACTCTGTGTTTCTCTCGTGGTGAATATTTTTTCTACATCTTACTTAGCTATTTCTCGTGCTTTCTATCAATTAATGAAAATATCGTCACTATCATATGCGGGCGATTATCAACGTTGCGTGTTTGAGTACTATTTGTTTGACGCCCTTTATGGTCACGGAGAACTTTTGGCTGGCGTAAGAGCAGTACTACAGATATAATGCGGGCTTAATATCACTTGTATTAATGACATTTTTTCGTGAGTTTAAATTTACCTAATGAAATAAATGGTAATATTTAAACTAAGAAATTTTTTTATTACAATGAAGTGTGATAACGGCTACATGGTTATTCATTTCAATTTTATTAACCCGGAAAAAATTTCAAAATGATTTAGAGATTGTGTTTAAATTTTATTTATCTAATTTTTTTTAATTTATTCATTTTGGAGTACTGTTTTAAATTTATTTATACAATCAACGAAGTATATCTACGTTTGGGACTCTTAATAAAGAGACAAAATTCCTCAAGTGGGCCACTAATAAATTAGTACTCTGAGTATTTATAAATATTATATATGTCTTGTTAGGATTTAAAAAAATAAAAAGTACGTATTTTTTTATTTTTTAAAATTTTAATTTTTTGAAAAGTTATTAATAATCAATTTTTTTTGCAATTTTTCACGTAAAA